TCGTCTTAATGACGTACAGAAGTGTATGGTTTTTCTCATACGGAAATACATAGCCTGAAGTTTTAAAACCCTAGATGCGGATGTAAAGACAAGTAGGGTTAAAAATTATTCCGAATGGGAGCAAAGTCTTTTGAAGATAAAAGATGCTCCTTCTTTAAGCTGAAAATTTTGTAAAAGACGTAATTTTCTGCAAAATAGTTAAAAGAAAGCATATTCTTAACGCGTTTTCTACAAAATATATGAATTTATGACGACATCAATAGCCCGAGGTTAAACGCCATACTAATAAAGTAGTCATTTCTGTATAGTGTAGCTTCTACGGAAAAAAGCTCATTCGAGAGCCGGCATCAGGAATGAGTAGAGTATCTTCGGATTGTGCCGCACAATAATTCACATTGTTACCTCATCTAGGTACTCTTCTTGAATCAAAAGCATACCTCGGAATTTCAGATAACAGTTCATCGTATAAAATATTATCTGTGGCTCTCTCCCTCGAGTAGACATACTTTCCTTTCCATGAGGACGCTGTGGTCTTTGGCGGACCTTCTCCTCCAAAGAAAAAATATGCCTCCTTAGTAATTCCATAACTTCGAGAATTACCTTGATATTTCTTCCACATCGCCATTTGTACATCAGAACCGAAAACGCCCAAGGAATTCAGTAGCAGCAGCTGCAGGAGCATTTTCCGTTCACGATGTCTTCGTATACAAGGAAACTAAGAAGTTATAAGGTTTTCTTCACTCCCTGAAAACAATGTGGTTCCGACCTCACTTCAGAGAAAACTAAAAATGCGGCAAAACTGATAGTGGCAAACTTTACACCATGGTGCAACTAAACTTCTCTTAAAATTACACAAGTATTATCCCCCCGAAAACCCTGAGGAAATCGAAAACCATATCCGATAGTACAAAAGACGCTGCTTATTAAACAGGGGTATTTGAAAACAAATTAAAAGAAGTGCTAAAATCCGTCTCGAAAATTTTACTTTTGTACTGAAGGCAAACATTGCCGTTTACTCCAAAGTAAGATCAAGGAAAAAAATCTTCGGCACTTCCTATAAGAATCCAGCTGAGAAAGGTTTCATCGCGCTTGAGGCAACGAAGTCTCTATTGTCCATATCCAGACAAGTCTTTTAACTGATATTTTCTGGACGGTTACCGAAACTGAGAGGAATATTACACACAAACTTTGTCAGCGGAACGCGATGAAACCCTTTAACTGCCTTTCAAAGGAATAACAGATGCACAGTATACCCTTTTAAACTAGCAGAAGTTTCATGCGCTTACCCTGTACCACATTTTCATTCAAGAGGCAAAATAACTTTAGGTTTGATTACGTTTCTAAAGGTAGAACATTATCGCGCCAGGTGAACGTTTCCAGCGAACTGTTAAATCATTGTTAGCTGCAAAGCAGGGCAATGGACTGGCCAATTCATGTTCGGGGTCGCTATGACTTGGGTGTAACAGCGCGAAGCTGGCATGGTGGGAGACTCCAACCTTCGAGGAATTAGGGGACTTTTTGTTTCTAGATAATATATCACTGGCAATTATCGAAAGTGATTTATATGCAAATGAGAACTTTTCTTGAATGCATCACGACGCTTAGCTTCATTTTTAAGGAAAACTATCTGTAATGCCTTAAAAGATCTAGCAGTCTAATTAATACTAAGTAAAACGTAACTTGAAAGAGAGTTTAGAAGGATTTTTAGCATCTGCAGAGCCAAACACTTTTTGAAGTCTCTAAAGACTCAACGAGTTTTGAACGCCTGTTGTTACTGATAAGGGAAATAAATTCCGATGCCAACATAATTGGCCTGTTTATGAAGTTTGGAAATAGTAGCGCCGGTTTATTTCGGAAGCTGTGCATTGGCTTCTGCCGAAATGCAATATAATTGTTATTAGAGTTGACCACGTACGCCAATGCTATTGCTGGATTATTTCCTCCCCATGCTCACTTT